GATTACTGAAAAGGCGCGAATACCTTTTTAAGAAATTACTACAGACGCTGATTGATACCTAGGCTAAAATGTGAACAACATTCAAATCTTAATAAACGGATTGTAGCTTTTATAAAGAAATATTCAGTGCTCGGTAATTACAGTATAAATAATAAATATAATAAACTTGAGTCGCTCAGGTGCGACTAAGAAAAGAAAATTGTGAAGATTAATGTTTTGACTTCTGAAATGATTATACGATATATTCAGAAGCTACAAAAAGAAGGGGTTTTATTGCATTAAAATTTACAAAAATCAGAAGAAACGACTTGACTACACTGGCTTCTGAGCGACCACGTTGTACTTATTTACTTACTCTTACCGTAACCAGTGAAAAACTGGTTATGAAATAATGGTGAACAAGTTGAACGATAAATTTGTCTTCTTAAAAAGTGAAACAGAAGGAAAGATAAAAATTGAGAAATTGATTAATCGGACATTATAGGAATCGATGTGAAGTTAAGTGAACGAAAGGTACGCAGAGTTTTAAATGACATTTCAAGACCGGTACGTTAGTTTGATGCGCATTAAATTTTATAAACATTACTTGACCAACGTTTATGTCGGTTTTGATTGGTGCAATTACACGAATGTATATCCTAATAGTTTAATATTGAATTTCTAATTTCCAAGATCTAGCTATTCGAATTACTCTAAGAACAATGGACTAAACGACCGTAAACCAAGTGTTAAACGCCAGATGCTTAATACGGCACTGTTATTTGACCAGTCGCGCAAAGCAACGAACACTGATGCGTACTCGATACACGAGGATTCGCGGTTAACCTGTTACATCCAGTAATTTCTCTGCAATAATAATAATCTTGCTGCAATAATAATTCTTTCGTTCGAAAATGAAACATAAACGAAGGCAATGAAAAATTCATAACCTAATTAACTTTAGCAGCCTGATGCGAAGAAAACAACGTTAGCCACTTTCCTTTAACACTTAAAAATTTTAATAACTACCCAGCCGTCATTATCGTAAAACGGATATTCTATATGAAATATTAAACACGTTAAACAAGCAAATGCAGCTATGGTGGTATACCTCAACGATAAACCGAAACAAAATCCAGAAAAATCACACCTCTACTCGAAAAGGTAAAATCAACTCGTCGTTGGAAAAATTAGAATTATTCTGTATTCCAGCACAACATGTATACATAAAAATACAATCATGTTAAGGGAACTTCAAGTATAAATTAATATTTTATTTCAAAACTACACTTTAAGAACAAAATATAACTTGTACACATTGAACAAAATTCATTGAGTATATTAACCCTTTACAATCGAATATCTCCGCAATGACTTCAAGCAGCAATGTCCAAAATCGAAGCTGCTAACGAATAATTTGATTATTCAACTACCAAGAACTGACATTCTTTTCTTTTCCTATTTAACACAATATATAATTCAGATTTTGATTAACACTGGAACTAACGATCACTCAAAGCATCTTTTCAAAGTTTCTTCATAAAAACTACGAATCTATAAACATTTCAATAAATCTGCTTTAATCATTTCTCAAACAAGTGTCTGTACCTTTACAGTAATTGCAGAAGAAGAAATTAGGAACTGGTCAATTTATCCATCTAGTAGTTGCAGTGTTAAAAGAAACAAAAGTTTAAGCCAGTCCTGTCCTCAAAGAGAAACCTGTCGTTAAGGGTTAACCCCTTGCTTTATAATATCGTGGTAGACTCGTTGCAAAGATTTCAAAGATAATGTAACAAACATAAACATAACTCAATCCTTCTGAATTCAACTTAAATACTACTTTTCCCTTATCAAACAAACATAACTCAATCCTTCTGAATTCAACTTAAATACTACTTTTCCCTTATCAAATAAACATAACTCAATCCTTCTGAATTCAACTTAAATACTACTTTTCCCTCATCAATTATTATAATGCAAAGCAAGTGAAGACATACAATACACCCCGAATTTTCCTCATTCCTCGAATGAATTATACAAGGTAGTCTCGTCAATCACAGTTGAGAAATCACAAGGCAAAGGGTTAAGATGCCACAGTACAAAAGACCCCGCCTCGTTCTGCCCATTTCTGCTCGAATAACAGAGTCTGACTCATTATCCCGCGCGAAAGGGCCAACAAAACCGTCGAGAGTCGGGGGCCGTTCGCGAAGAGAAACAAACGGCGCGTTTCCTCGAACTTCGTTCTCGGTCCGCGGGTTCCGCTGGCGGGGCGCACAGCTGATCCGCAGGCCGCGGGAATCAAAGCAGCCTCTGATAGGCCGCGATACGCTTTATTATTGCGAGCCCCGTGGTCGGCTCGTTCGACGGCCAGTCTCTAATGCCGCTCTGCCGGGCGAAATCGCTGGCGGCCGCCTCGCTCCCTCGATACTCCGCGTCGAGCTTCCTCGCCAGCAGCATCGTTCCCCTCGGCGCGCGCGGCGCGATCTCGAGATTCCCGTGGCCAGGGTCCCCCGATCGCGGCCCTCCCCTAAATAAGACGCGAGCCACTTCGAATTCCGCGACTTCCGGAGCGGTCAAATCGCTCGCCGGCCGCGGCCGCGTCCACACGTCGCTTCGAGGCTTGTCGTCGGCAGCCGACATCGATCCTCTCTTTTTCCCGCTGACCGGGGAGAACCGATCGCCAGTGATACTCGGGCCTCGATCTTGAAATGGAACTGTGACCGGCGTTATTGTGTTGTTTCTGTGAACGATCCCGATCGAACGATGATTTACCACAAGCCGACCGTGCCGCGATTTCGCATCGCCGAGCGTGTCAGCGTGTCGCCGCCGAGCAACCGGCCGATTTATACCAAACAGAACAGCCACAGCAGCACGTGCAGCTTGAGGAGCGCCGGGTCTACGCCGCCATGTGTCAATCGGTACATAAGAAATTCATTTTTTTCTTTATCCTCGGCTTCCTCGAGCTCTTTCGGTCGTTTTTGGGGATTCGATGTGGGGTTCCTGGTAGGCTTGCGTTGATTGCAGCTTGTTAATTTTGTCTCTTTGTCTCTTTGGTTAGATGAGTTTTAAATACTTTTTAGAATTACAGATTTTGAATATAAGTCTTTATAGTAGCTTTATTTATGTATAATTCGACAGTTGGTAAGATTCTTTATTGTGCTCCAAATGTTTCTCAATTTTAGCTTGGTGTCTTCTATTCTCTCTTTTCTCGCGTTTAGTCTTTATTATTGTTTGATTATCTACTACAGCTTTTTTACATGCAAATTGATCTCGCCGAACGATCGCGTCGTTCATTTGAACCACGTCACCGAATTATGAATAATTTCCGCTTCCAGTTCCCGTCAGATTGACACCCGTTCTAATTTCCAGGTGGACTGGGCTCTGCGAAAACGCAGAGAGCGTTAATGTAACGCAAAGGTATTTTTCGTGTTTTCCATTGAGGCGCAGTTGGAAGGAATGTTGAACGTTACCGTGACGTTGCGACGTTTTGTATAACGGAACGCTGCCTCGGAAATCGAGCGTTGGTTCGATGGAAACCGTTCGACATCGCCTCGGAAAATGTTAGCAAATCACGCGATGTTCGTCCACGTGAGTGCTGGGAAAAAAAAGAACTGGCTTCGCGTTGGACTTTGTAACACTGTTTTGTAAACACGCGAATATTTTCGACGCGCTGGGAAAATGTTTCGTCGTGAATCGGTCGCCGGCGTTCGTCAATGCAGAAGCGGGTTTCGTTTAGCGATCCCGTTCGTAATATTTCTATGAACGGAACTCTTTGTTTAAGTCCTTTGTATAGCCAGAAGTTTTACCGCCTGCGATTTCATTGTAAATCGGTTGCTCTTTTGGAAGATATTCGTACAGCTAGTTGTCTGTTTCAAACATTGGGGAATAGTTTGTAGTAATAGGAATTCGGCGAAGTCGTAACTTCTTCATGGGTTAATGAAATATTTGAAAATATCAAGATTTGAATAATAAAATACTTGAACATTTCAAGCTCTGATTATTGAAATATTTGAAAATATCAAGATCTGATTAATGAAATATTTGAAAATATCAAGATCTGATTAATGAAATATTTTAAAATATCAAGATCTGATTAATGAAATATTTTAAAATATTAAATCTGAATAATAAAATATTTGAAAATGTCAAGATTTGAATAATAAAATATTTGAAAATATCAAGATCAGAATAATAAAATATTTGAAAATATCAGGATCTGATTAATGAAATATTTGAACATTTCAAGCCCTGATTATTGAAATATTTTAAAATATCAAGATCTGATTAATGAAATATTTTAAAATATCAAGATCTGATTAATGAAATATTTGAAAATATCAAGATCCGAATAATTAAAAATTTGAAGGTCAGAAGATCCACAGGTTTGAATACTCAAAAATTCTTTAATTTCAACACTTAAAAATTTCAAGTGCCATCTTTTCACGCAAAGGTGTGAAAAGTACTTCCGAATTCGAGATTAGAGCGACACAAAGGGATTAGACCGTTTGTCACGGGTAACGCCGAAAGTCTGCATCTATTCTGCTCCCATGAAAGATACGGGATACCTTCTTTCCATAAATCACGTCCTGCTTGAATAATGACTAGTGTCTCGGTTGACCTTTGTAACCCCGTCGCCCCATCTTCGAGATATTCTAAAGGAAATCTTGATTGCTGTTGACCCTCTAAATGTCTGCCAACGTGGGAATTGCGATAAGGTTGCCACGCCAAATATCTACTTCAAATTGAAACCCAATCATACGCGAATCGATTTAATCGAACGATGAATTCCAGTAAATTGCTCAGTTGCAGGTAATACCACGATACAGTCATTGCACATATATTGCGAAATCGATGTTTAAGCTTCCCTAAACCTTTTCGCCTGACAGAAATTTTCAAACATACATAACTCAATTTTTATCAGCTCTAAAATAATTACAAATTACTATGTCGAACTATCACATAAGTAATCAAGCTATTTATTTACTAATCCGAAAACAATCATTCGTTATTTTTGATTTCAGTATCAAGCAACCTTTGGGAAGCAAAGGTCCGTCGCCTGTTCATATGAGCACGCCCGTGCGGTCTGGAATCCAGTCGCCGAAACCTACGATCAACGGATCCGACACAGTACTGTGAGTCTCGCAATTAATCGTTTATTCATTCGAAATCGAATAATTACCATTTTCTGAAACGAGTTCTCGAGAATTGTAAAAGGATAATAATTGCCCGCTTTACTCGAATTCACGGTGATTCCATGCATTCCTTCATCCTTTGACGCTTGAACGTCCATTCGAGTGGATTCTTGAAACAGCGCCCGTTTGAACGAAACAAAATTGTATTTCTCGCTGCGTATGATCGTTTCAGGCGACAGAACTCGGTGTTAAGCGCAACCTACGATGCCAGAACGCAGGAGAGCCATTACGACGTCGTCAAGCCGATAAAGGTAAGTCGATAAAATGCGACGTTGATCAGTTCACGCGGTAATGCACGCGAATAAAAATGTATTCCATCGTTGCGTTCGACGTTCGTATTACCGGCTGGAACTAATCGAATCACAATTAATTTACAATCGTACTGCAAATCGATTCGAAATATTATAGCAACCTTCGGGGAACAATGCAGTGCTAACGAAATATCGACAGAACGTTCGTTTGAATTGTATTACACCAGAACTTCCTGCAAATTGCTCAATATACTTTTAATAAGTTCTATATATTATATGATAATTCACCATTGCTCGCGAGCATTTCGCAATTCATCGTTGATTTCAACACAGAGGAATAACAGTTTCGTTCCAATTGAAGAATCAGTGAACTCATGAGTCGGCGCTGATGGAGTTTTTAACTGCCAATAAGTTTCCGCCGTTCGTCAATGTAAAAAAAGAAATCACTCGTTATTATTTTATTGTTTTGAAAATCCGACGAGCGCCGCGTTTTGGTAATCGTGGAAACGCGAATTCAATATCGAACTTTCTATCTGCGTCTATTTCTACCGTCGCTCGCATAACCCGTGACCCGTTTGCAGTCAAAAGGCGCAATGGATCGGTGAAACTGGCTCGCCGGCGATTTTCACGAATCGTTGCGAACGTTGCGCACAAAACTGCTCATAAAATCGATTTCCACTCATTTTTCCCATTTCCCACTCCTCGGCGAGCAAACCAGTAATTCCGACATGCGTGTACATCGTCGTAGAACATCGTTCTAATCCACAAAGAAACAGTTATCGCTGGACATTCGATTTATTCATCGATTTCCACGAGCGTACAAACCATTCAACTCATTCGTGCAGAATAACGTGTCAGACTCGTGGTATATTTTTTATATTCTGTCGTCGTACATTAATAATAACAAGCACATAACAATGAGCACAATAATAACAACAATAAGAAATATTAATACATTCTATTTTTCATTCTGTAATACCATCTAGTCCGCTTTTCGCCGACAAAACGTACAAAATGGCGGTCGCGCGACTAGGTTGACGCTGCCCGAGGTGTCAAATTAATTCCCGACGCCGGTGAAAGTGGTCTGAAACGATGGAAAAAATGGAGAAAATAATTTCCTCGGCCGAGAAATGAGTTTCTGGATCGGCGCCGGCTTCAATTTACCGTAATCGTCGATCGGTTAATCGGGCAATTGCCAATTAAACGCTTTAATCGGGGCAATTAGCAGTTGATCGCATAACTTCTCCCCCTCCCGTGCCCCGTTCCCTTGTCTTCAACTGTGTCGAATCCTTTTCCGGAAAGTGCGCCGATGATGTAACCGTAGACCAAACGTTGCGAGCCGTGCATCGATAGATGTTTATCACGCGACGTAACGTTTCCGCTGAAGATCTGGATGGACATTGTTGCGGGATCGCTTCGCATTTGAATAATGCTTCTGCGTCGTCGCTCGGAAAAGCCGCTCGACGGACGTTTCAAAGAAGACCTTTGGAATATCCGATCCCGTTGGAAAATCGTCTCGCAATTATCGCGACGCTCGAGCGAGATTCGAGAAGACAATCGCGGCCGGATTTATTCCGATTGCGTCACGCCGCGGATAAATGGAAGCGCTCGTGTTCGCATCGAGTGAAACTTAACGCTGAAAAGATCGCTCGCGAGATTTCTCGTTTTCATTTTCGTTTCATAAGTGGTTGTTAAGTATTTTGCAACGTCGCGGGGAAATCGCGGAACGTGTCTTCCGAAAGTATCATCGAATGATATCGTTCGTCCTCCAGTTTTCCTCAACGACCGAACGAGAGGCGCATCGTCGCCTTTCGATCGGGATTTTTCGCCGTCGCCGGAATTCACGATGCGCGATTAATCATTCTAGAAACGGCATCCGCAATACGAACGGCGGACGATTACGCAACGATCATTTCGTGGAACTGCAGCGTCAGTTGTCGACCAGGTGTCCATTCAAAAGCGCATAGGTGTGACTCCGATTCGATCCGATCCCATGGCCCCGTACGTGATCGACGCGTTCGCCAGCGGACGGTGCATGTGCTCTGTCTTTGGCAGTGCTAATGAGTCAATGGGTCACGGCCTGCTTTGTCTCTTTCCAGTTTCGCGGACGAACTAGTTCATCGATCCATATAAGATCTGCTTTTCAGCGCAGATGTGTCGCAACCGCTCCTAGACGCGCGTGCACCTCGGATTCAATGGATCGCGCATCGTAGGTGTGAAACACGATAGGTCAGACTTCTCGAGACATTTCATATAATTTCCTTTGCCCCCGTATATTCGAGGAATCGAAGTGCGTTGATCTACCAGGATTAACGATCAAGATAAACTTTTATTCATAGAAGTTCGAAGCATCGCTGTATCGTCTACTAATAACGAACTCAGACGATGTAACGATGCTCGGTTATTATTAGCAGACGATACGATAATTCGCACTTCTCTTGAGGAAAGTGTATCTTAACAATTAATCTGGCCGGATTACAATGCGCGGTCTTGATTCGTTGAATACAGAAGACAAAGGAGACTACGGTTCATTATTATCGTTTACATTTATTAATCCCGTTTGCTCTGACTTATCTAAAGCTTCTTCCGCTGCACATCGATCTTTGAGCTTATCTTCGAGAGAGATATTAATCGCGATACGCGATGAAAGAATGGATGAACACCTGTGGGACCATTCAGTTTAATTGGATTGTTAATTTCTTATTAAGGAGAGTCTAGCTTTCAGGAATAACGTCTGGCTGCATACCGAGTGGAACGTCGCGAATCAACCGCGTAAACCTCTCGCAAGGCCCAATCGCCCACACTCGAAATTCTAATGATCATTACCGACCGATGTCGGATTATGTTGCGCGATGACGCAGTTGGAGGATGCAAATCGTTGCGCACACGCTCGCCGATGCACGTTCGACTAGCACAATTAGAAGATGTCTCATAACGCAAACGAAAATGGCGGTTCCGCGTAGGTGGCCGCGGTTTTCCGAGATTTTTGTCGCACCACATAGTTGGCGACGATACTACGACGAATTCTGATTATAATATTGATGAACGTGATGTAACCGGGAAAAAACTGTCGAGGAGATTAACATGCCAATAGGATCTGCGGGACAAAAAAGATAATACGCTTTGAAGCTCGTTATGGTAATATGTTTGGAAGTTTTTCTACGCAGATCTTCGATTGTTGTTGTAACCTTTACTTCTGATTTAGGTCTGCGGTCCCTAATCAATCACGTCTGTGTTATTTTAACGTCATTTTGTTTATTTATCTCTTTTCAGTTTAACGGCGTTCTCATTTTGTCAAGGATACTTTCAAATTCGAGAGTAGCATAAGGAAATTATTGTTATATGTTTCTGATTTTTCAATAAGAGTTCGAGTTTGTGGACAAATCGAGGAACGTTGTAGGGTTAATACTTAATGTTGTTTGATAGCTCTTTGAATTCCGGCGATTGTCGCGATTTGTTCTGCGTGAAACACCGGCCGCCGGCTGGCGTGTCATTTTTCCGAAAGGGTATACCTTTTCCTACCAGAACTAAAAGTGTGATACACCTTCGGCCGTCAAGGTGAACTGGACTCCGAGAGCTAGTATGTGTAGGTGTCAACGAGTCGCCTAGTAAGTTAATAGTGGCACGTGCGCGTTATTATACGCGTTTAGTGTACAATTACGTTAGAGATTATTAAACTGCAGTTAGAGCTACCTGCAGTACCGTTTATCATTTTTCATTTGTTAACGACAAAGTGTTAGCTCGAACTTGAAGCATTAAGATCGTGTAGGCGATCTACTATGTTGAAACTGCAACCTTCATTTTCTCTTGGGAAATCTTTCAATCGTTCACCTGTCGAGTAAGCATACTTCTCTGTAATAAAATGGACAAATTTGTCAAATTTATTGCGCAGAGGAACATCTTAGTTGCGAAATCGCAGAGTTCTCTTTGGAGAATATTCGTTAGTTTCTTTCACAAAATCTGACGCTGTTTTCTATTTAACATTGGAATTGTTCTGTTTATTATTACAGCTGTTGTTCTTGTCAAATTTAACGTTAGTTCGATTGGTTTATCACACGCATTCCTTTCGCTGGTACGAATCGAATAGACGCAGAACGTGGAAGAGAATTGCAGCTCCATCTCGTTGCAATTGTGAAAGTCTTCACCTGCAAATACCTCTATGCACTGTGTTACCGTTTTTCGCTGGTGCAGCGGCGATTAATTAACAGTATTTACACTTACAGCGCTCTCTCCTAATGAATTGTTTCATAAGTGGCGTAGAAAAATAAATAAAAATCGGAAATTCTTCCGTTTCAAGTACTGAATCTATTTCGATGAATTTCCAACTTCCATCTCTTTTTATCGAACATTAACAAGTATATCTATTTACTCTGACATTCTCGGTTAATTCACACTCCAGTTGAAATAATCCAAGTGAAAACCTAATGAAAACATTCTACTCGAATTACGTGACATCACTATGTACATTTGCCTGTTAAACAGCTTGTCCAGTTTTATTGCCGAACGACACTGTCTACCACAGTTCACAGTGACTCATCGACATTTCCTAGTAATAGGCAATAAACATTTTTTCCCCTTCGTTCAGTCTCTAAAGGCAGAGCTTCGTCAACCGTTCTGAAAACAGACGCAAGCAGATGCACCGACGTTTTCGTTGTTAACCCAAGAATATAGGTCAACGTGCAGAAAGCTGCATAGTCTGATTTCAATGCTTCATCTAATCGCTTCGTTTCACATTTCAAACAGATTTCGTTGATAGTTTCAGCATTCGTAAAAAATGAGGACGCGATCAACGATACCAGGTATCAAAGATCAATGAAAACTGTATTCATTTACAGACGGTCGCATCATAAAGCCTTCCATCTCGTAGATAATCGAACATACTTCACACAAAGATTTTTCGAAAGATACCGAGAGATACGACTCTATTTCATAGATACATTACACTAAAAATCCTTTCAAAACTTCATCCGTAAACCGATAATCTCTTTATAGAATTACAA